TATATATATATATATATTATTACAAGCAGTTATGATAAAACTTTAAAAAAACGTAAATAATAATTAATGTATTATACCATACCTTATTCAATTTTCAGTCTATTAATTAATTTTTTTTCAATTAAAATTTATTTGGCTTTATAATTCATAAAATAATTCTCAAAAATCTTTTTCTGTTTCATTTAAAATTAATAATTATAGTTTTTATTTAAAGAAAACTTGCATAAAGTAGTAACAAACTGGTTCCAAAACTGTTTCGATAAATCAAAGTTCTTACACTTTGGAACATATTGTATATCTCAGTTGGTGACATTTTTGAATCATCAAAAAATACCCAAAACCAGGGATCATCTTATAAGACAAATAAAAAACTGACTTTAAAATTCACAGTTCCATGACCCATCCCATAAAAAATTTTTAAGAAAGAATAAAATATTTGATAGAAAATTTACAAATTTTATTTCTACCATAAATTAAAATTGTAAAAAAAATCATCATCTGTCAATATCATATTTAATTGTCAATTAAGTTATAAATAATTGTATACCTATTTAATAAGCTTTTGAACGAAAAATTTTCCACTATAAATAGTATAAAAAATAAGTGTAAAGTTCATTCTTACAATGTGTGGGTATCAATCATATCTACATAAATATTGCCAATATTTGATTTTAAAAAATTGCACAAGTCTTAAGTGACTATGCATCTCAATGATCACTTACAGACAACAATGTCTTACACTGCTTACTAACAATGCTTACTTATACAGTCAAGTCTGCATAAGTCATCATAGGTATAACTAGACACCGTTGATTAAGTGCTCAGTTTCTGTGGTCCCAGCTGACTTACAGGCATTAATGTTAAAAAAACTCTTGGTGAATCAACACCATTTAACTCATCACTACTGGATAAATCGACATATTTTTTCTGTCTCAAATTCGTTTAGACGTCTGATAAGTCGACTCCCTCCTGAAAAAAATGAGTTCGAACTCATTTTTTTCAAGAGGGAGTTGACATTATTTATTAATATTTACCGGTACATATTAATAAAAATACCTTAACATTTTATATATAAAATAATAACAGATAAACAAAAAGAAAACATATAATCTATATCATCATCACAACAGAACCCGATCTTGCATTCTCTCACCTTTCATTCATGCGTTATTTGTAGCACGTGTTTCACATTTCTGTTAGAAATGAATATTCAAAAGATAACAATGCTTATGCTGAAGGAAAAATACAAACTTGTATCTGAATTTGAATGTAATAAAACTTTGCAAGCTGAATTTGCAGAAAAACCTCCCAAAAACAACATTGGTGAAAATTCTGAAGAAAAAAGAGGAAATTAAGAAGCTTTTTCTTGGTTCTTCATTGCGGCTGTCTCGATAAATCCAGAGAAAGTTGCCATACAAAAATGTCAAAAATGCTCTGGTACATTGGCTAAAGCAAATTCATTCATCGAATCTTCTTGTTTCAGGGCTGATACTGAAACAAAAAGCGATGGAAATCGCTGAGATACTTGGAGTAGAAACCAACTTTAATGCCAGTGATAAATGGTCAGAGAGATACATTGCATGTACTGTATAAAGCACTAGTGTATTTTCCTAATTGTAGTTTTGTAGCTTTTTTTCAACTTTGTTTTAGTTGTCATATTGGATAACTCAACACATTTCCACTTCCCCTTGGGGTGTTGACTTACGCTGACTCAACTGTATTTGCACAATCTGCATCTTACTGTATTGCTGTGTCAGCACATTACCATATTGATGATTGCCATCTACTAACTAAAACTTCTTCAAAAATAGCTTAATACTGTAGTTCCAAAAACTTGACTTAATGTGAACTGAGATAGTGATGAGTTACTAAAAATAACAGCAATGATTCTAGTCTAAATATCAGAATTTTTATAAAGATATCATACGTGCAAATTTATAAACATATTAACTACATACTAATAGTGATTATTCTCTTTTATATTTGTATATTGAATATTTATACTTATAGTTAAATGTTAATTTTAAAAATATTGGCTATTCAGTAACTATTTTCAAGTTAATGACATTCACATCACAGCATATTGCAGTGGCACCCTAAAAAAGGAGTTATAGTCTTTGTCAACACTTGGAATTGATGTTATTATTAAATGTCATCAGTGAAGAATGATAACTTATTTGATCCTATTGTTAAATTAGATAAGTAAAAATTAGATTACATAGATTACATGTATTTCATTTCATTCAGATGACACAAGATTTACAGAATGTTGAATTATCAAGAGTCGAGTTTATGGAACTACTGTAATATGAGATCATCTTATACAGTAGATATGAACTAAAATAGTCTTTTTCAAAGGTCACCTTATGTACTGAAATATATGGTAATTTTCTTTCCCTTTTCTATAGTCCAGTGTTTCCCAACCTTTTTTGTGCTATGCCCCACCTAAGCCATTCTAAAATTCTTATGCCCCCTAACATATACAGCAGCCATACAGTTAACCTAAACTCTGGATGAGTCCATTTTCGAACGGCTCCCTTAACAATCTAATTGCCCCGTGGGGCGTGGGCCCCTTGTTGGGAAACACTGCTATAGTCTTTATTAGAATAAAAATGGAGTCAATATTCATTAGTCTACATATATAAAGAAAATTAGCAGAAGTGCATCTTATTTATCTTCCCCCTACCTCCAGTCATTGTGTCGGTCAATAAAGCAGTTTCCAAAGATGGTAACCATAAATGACATTATCAGATAGTTCTTTGAGTAAGAGCTTAATTCTTTGAGGGTAGTGTTGCAATATTAACTTTATCCAAAATAAGATTACAAATTTATTTTATAGTATACAACAAAAGCATACATATCCACATATAAATGAAGAATTTTCAGGATTTTTTGAAAGATTGATTCTAAATTTGCCAATTATTTTCCATTCTTAACTTGATATTGTTAATTAATGAATGTACCTTGTTCATAATATAAATCATGAATTTTCTAAACTAAAATAAACTTAAAAAGTATTCAAAAAAATCAGTCAGGAGTTTTTGGCAGAATTGGAATTGGGAGAAATTTTGGTATCATCCCATCACTAATTTTTATACAATTACTATCAATATGTTAATTATATAATAACAAAAATATTTTAAATTTCCTGCGTCTTATTGGTTATTTTTGAAATTTGTTGATTTCGGATTATTTTATTGGATATTTTAAAATTTAAAATTAATATTAAAAAAAATGTCAAAAACTACATTAGTACAATTTACCATATCTACAGCATTAACATTGGGTTTATATTCTAACAAAACTTCTACTACATCAGAAAATCCACCTTTAGTAGCAACTATTAATGACGTCCATGAATACTGTGAATAAAATAATCATATTTTAATATAACAAATATTTTACTAACAGTAATTAAAAATTCCATAATTATTTTATTAATAACAAAATTTGATTAATTCAATGTAAGTTGTCATTATTATTTTGGATTTGTATTTATAAATGTAAATGAATAAAGCAATAGAATAATTTTTCTTTTAATGATATTTAATAATTTTATCTCATTTGTTTGTTAGAAAAATTATTTAACAAACAACTTAAAAAGTACCTCAAAGAAAGCAGGAATTTTTATAGAATTACTATAATGTATATTTTTTCATAAATATTCTATAGTAACACATTTTACTGATGATGAAATAGTCCAAATATCATTAGAATATTTTTGAAATTTTCAGCTGAAGCTAAAGATGTAGAATATTCTAGACAAATATTCTGTAACTGTTTTCTTTGTTAAATTTAAGAACAATAAACTCAAACTCAAAAGACATGAAAAGAAATCATTCAAATAAAAAAGAAATAAGTTTATTTTTGTGGGTAAAAAAATTAAAACAAAAAATATATAAAATAATTTTAATTTCATAAGCCTTACTTTAAATGAATCCTTATTTTTGAATAATTATCCAAAATGGTTAAAAAAGTACTTCCAATCAAGGATTCATTAAGTTATTCAGAAATCTCATTTCACATTTATACTCTTTGGCATAAAAATTAAAGCACTCTTGGAACCTTCAACCCAGAATGCAAATATGTCCTAATTACACATACAAATGATAACAGTTCACACCATTATGTCATATCTTTTCAAAATCTACTAGAATTTTCTAAAACACAGTCTGTAAAGGCTATCAAATACTCGTTATAACAATCTAACTGCCTTTATTTGTTAGTTGATCACAAATGCTAGTGACCTTGAAGACATACTCAAGTCCCTTATCATCAATTAAATGACTAATGTAGTTCAATGATACAACTATCATTGAACTATAGGATGGTAACTGGTTGTTCTGAAGAAAAATCTGGCATCTGGAACATTCAGATACAGCAACAGCAAGGAATTAGAAGCAGTGAGTTTAAGAGGGCACCCATGAATACCTTATAAGCTCTGGCAGGTCTGGGAATACTATTGTTAGAGAGGATCATCAGATAAATGAGATGAACAAAGAATAATCCAACAGTTTTGCTCTCCACCATTTGAGCAAGATGTGTTATTCTCTTTACACATCCTATATCATCCTGTACCATCATAAGCTATCTCACAAAGGCAAGACACTACTCTTGTTGTCTCTTATATGACATTTGTCATTAACTAGACAGGATAGGCAATGCCATCTGTAGTGGTACCATGATGTAGGAAGATGCTGAATGGCATCATATTATGTTTAGTTATAATTCTCATTTCAATCTTTATACCTCAGATAACAGTCATATTCATGTATGAAAGAAGAAAGGACAGCAATTCAAACTACAAATCAGGAGTGATTTCCTAAGACATCCTGTCCCCCCTTATAGTGATCAGAAGAATCTTAGCAGCGTAGCAGTAAATTAAGGAGATTCTGAAATCTGGTATATTGCCTTCAAGTAATGTTTTCTGCAAGAAAATGCTTGCCACATAGTGCTTTCATCATTTTCAAACCTTTCCTTGGACTATATTCTCTCTAGATTCCCAACTGAACATGTCTGGACTTTACTTGGACATCAGTAGAAGCAAGCTTGAGAAAATCTGCACAGAACAGCATCCAAGCTATGTTTAACTCCATGCCAGCCATATTTCTGCATGTATTGCAGCCAGAGGTGGCTACAATACACACAGAGATATGATAAATAAAAAAAAAACATTGTTTATGTTAAAATAGCTAATATTTTCTAATATGTTTCTAATCATTGATTTCTTTTTAATGTTTTATATTTCTTTACCAGAAAAGTCAGATTACAAAATGATCATTATAATTAAAAAATTAAGTTGCTTCAAAAATGTATATTTAATTATATACAACTAGATATAAAATTAATATTAAAATATTTTTAGAAATAATACCATTCCAGCTGTATCAACATTGGATCCAGCTCTAAGTAATTCATCTACAATATCCAAATAACCTTTACGTGATGCCCATACAAGAGGAGTGGTTCCATACTGCATACAAAAAAATTCAAATAAATATCAAAATAAATTATCTAATAAGTTAACAGAAAACCATTGTTAAATGCACTAACCTTATCACCTGCATTAACTTTTGCACCATGTGCTAATAAATTTCTTACAATTTCCAAATGTCCACGACCAGATGCCCAAACAAGGCATGATATATGATTTTTATCATACACATTAGCACTTGATCCTCTCTGTAGCAACAAAGAAGCTAATTCAATATAACCTTTATAGCAAGCCCACATTAAAGCAGTCCATCCACCCTAAAATTAAAATAAAAATAAAATTAATAAAAGTATAAAATATAAAGTTAGAGATAATTACTGATATACAGGTATCCCTCGTACAACACAATACTTCTACAACAGTTTCACTCTAACTTGATTGAAAATTGGTTTGAAAATATCGAAAACTTTGTTATTCAATATTTTTTTTTATTCAAGTAAGCATATGTGTTGTCTCAATTTGCCCGTGGATTTTAGAACATTGAAATTTTCAAATTATTTTGTGCTTTTCATCAGGTTTACTTTAATGGAAACTGATAAAACAAGGAAGAAAAAATTTTATTAACTTTCCTATTAACCAGGTGTCATCATCATTACTTTCAAACTTTAGCCATCACTATGTTTTCTTTTTATAGTTTGATCTTTGTGTTTAGTAAAGTTTATTTAAACATTTTTAGATAAATGTCATTAAACTTTCTTTTACTGTCAGTAAGTAATCATTCATAAAAATGATGAACAAAACACAGCAGTATCTCGGTACTCAAACAATTCAGTGTTCAAACACAGATTCCAGAAAAAAGTCACTCGGTACTTAACTGAACAAATGACCCCCTAGAACAAATTTCAAATTAATAACATATTATTTTATTTCATCATCCATAAAAATAAAAAAATATGAAAATGTTGCTGATACTTCTGATCAAGATCAACAAAAAAGCTGAGATGACAACGATACTCTGTAAAAATAAAATGTCCTCATTTAACTAAAATTAATATTAATGCATCATACATTACTTTTAATTGTGATTGTTAATTATTAATTGGAAATAAATTATCGACTGCTTTAATAAACATATTTCTCTTATTAACAAAAACAATAGTATACTTTTGCTAACTTCTGGAATGTTTTGCATTAGTTCTTTGTTTCATATAGTATGGATTCACATAACACATCACTTTTTCGAAACATAACTATCATGTTATATGAGGAATACCTGTACTTATTAGATATATAAGTTAAATTTGAGCAAATAAAAATGAAATAATTTAATTTTTTAGTAGTTCCATAAAATTTCTAATCTTCTTGAAAAGATACAAGTTAAAAATATATAATATTTTTATTTAAATATATTGCATGATATAATTTAATTTTACATTTAATATTATGCATAAAATTATACTTACGAGCACCAAAAATTTGGGCCAAAATACTTTTATGCTGATTAGTATCAATATTATAAGGTGTTTCTCCTGCTCTATTAGGTCTATAAAGTAGCTGACTATTTTTAGGATTTCTTAACAAAATTTCTACTATTGCTTTACTTTGAGCTCTCATGGCAATATGTAATGCAGTATCTCCTTTCTAAATTGTTTAAAATAATTTAAAATCAATAAAGAATTTCATATTTTTATTTATAACACAGGTCAACAGTGGTTTTGGTGCCCAGGTATTTTGAGCTGATTTCATATGAATTTGATGTCCTGAATTCAAATATGGCATTAGTTTTTGCCTAGGAGCTCTAATTTTTAAGATATAGCATTTTAGCGAAATATACATTTCAATATCTTAAGTTAAATCCATGGATCAAGTAAAAAAACTAAACACGGAATTTTTATTATTATATTATGCAAATATTATTCTATACAAAGATAGAGGAAAAAGTCATCAATAAAACTAAACAGTTACACATTGAGGAAGCTTCATTTCC